CCCCAAAACCCCAAAACCCCAAAACCCCAGGAATAATAAATTGAAATGAGCCAATAGAATTCACAAAAAGATTAATAATATAAAATTTGAAATAAAGGAAAATTTATCAATGGCCGAATCATAAGCACAGTCATATTATGAAGAAGGTGAAGATGATGAAGAAGAGGAATATGAATCAGAGGTTGAGTCTAGACAAAAGTCAAAAATCTTATCAAAGAGGAATATGCTTAGGCAGGAAAATGATTTAGAGGTTAAATCTATGAGCATGAGTTAGAGAAGTAGTAAGCTTAGCAAGAGTAAAAATAAAAATAATGCGCCGCAAACGAATACTTTAGTTAATTAAAGTAACCTCTAGCCAGTAGGGTAAAAAAGTAAGAGAGATATCGATAATTAGAATAAATCAAAGATAAGCACTAAGAGAGGTAAAAAGCAAGGAGAAGCAAATAAGTCTAAAGCTAATGTAGATAATGATGAATATGATGATGAAGAAGAGGGTGAAGAGTACTCATACTATGAGGAGAGTGTCCAGAAATCAAGAATTAGCAATGCAGTAAAACCTAAAAAATCTCAAAGGAAAAAGGAAAAGGAAAAGGACTCATTTGAAGTGGAATTCAGTGATAATAAGAAAATTGGGGATACATTTAGAAGTCAAGTGATTTCCTAGAAAAGTTTTATGGGTGGGCTGTAAAAATTGAAATCGAGAGAGGCAGGAGATGATGTCTCTCCCTCTTTAAATCAGTAAAAATCAGGGCCTTAATATTTTGGCCAGAATACTCTAACTACCTCGAAGTCTAACGTAGGTGGGCCGAGTCCTTTATAAAATAAACTGCAAAGCTAAACATCAAACTAAAACTAAAAGACTTCAATGGAGGATATTAGAAGATCATAAATGTAAAAATAAGTTGAGGAAATAAGGTAGTAGCAGCAATAGTAAGATATAAAACCAAAACCAAAAGTGAACACATTAAAAGTAGAGAGTGAATAAGAAGAGGGATAAGATTATGGTGAAGAGGAAGAATCTGAGTATGATGAAGAAGAGGATGAAGCTTAGGAGATCGTAGATAAGAAAACCTAGATAAAAATGAATAGAAGCGCAAAAATGAGTTAAAAATCAGCAAGATCTAAAGGTAAGCAGTAATCAAAGCTCAGAGCTTCTTAGCAAGTAGATCTAAAATAGTAAGAGGCTGATGAATAAAAGTAGAGAGAACTTTAATAGCAGAATGATAAGTAATAACAAGAAATGCTAAAATAATAATAGGATGAAATTCAGCGAAAAAAATAAGAATAAATGTAAAAATAAAAGGAGCAACAACGATTAAAAGAAGAATAAGATTTGTAGGCATAAAAAGAAAGTTAATTTTAGAAACAATTACAAATTTAGTAGGAGAAGGAGAAATAGCTTAAAGAATAGGAGGAGCAATTGAGACGATAACAAGAAAGAATTGAGTAAGAGTAAAGGCAGCTCGAGCAGTAATAAAAAAGACTACAGCAATCAGAGTAAAAGCTACTTAAGGAAAAATCATTCTAAAAATCAGTATAGAAAAGTGTAAAATCCAAGAAATCAGCAAAAACAAAGGCTAAAAAAGAAGAGGAAGAGGATGAAGAAGTGAGTTATTACAGTGACGCTGAGGAAGAGGAGTATGATGAGGAATATGAAAGTGAGATAGATGAGGATGCTGGTGAAAAGAACAATAAATAAAAAAACAAGTCAAAACTAAGGAGCAATCGAATGCAAAATAAGGTCCACGAGATATAACTTCAAGGAGAATCAGACAATTTATTCCCTGAAAAGTTCTTGGATATATCAGAGGAAAATTTCATTGAAAGGTCACTCAAAGATTTCAGACCACCAACAGCAGGGAACAAAACTATGCATAGTTTTGATGGAGCTATGTACTCAACAAGAGTCATTGGAGGTGTAAAGCCGAATTTATTAGCTCAAAACGAAGACTCTTACGATGAGTTGAGATTTTTTGAGAAGTCTATTTAGGATGATAAGACAAAAAGAACAGGTAGAGACATTAATATTGGTAATGTTGTTTAAGAAGAGGATGAATATTATGAAGAAAATAGTAATTCATTTCAAACAAAATCGCAGTAGTCCAAAATTACTAAAAGTGAGTAGTTTGATCCAGGAGCAGTTTATAGCAGATAAAAGAAATAAAAGAAAGTTGATATTACTGAAGATAAAATGGACGGTGAGTTAGAGAATTCAATGTCAAGTTTTAAGAGCAATTAAGTAAAGCCAGTCAAATAAAATAAAAGAGAACCCTCATAAAATTAATCATAGTTAAGGTAAATACAATAGTAAAAATAAGTGCCAATAAATAAAGGATCCAATGATGATAGCTTGATAAGAAAAGATGAGCATAAGAAAAATTTTGAGTATGATTTGGATGAAAGAGGAAACAAGGTCATTATGAGTAGAAAGCAAAACAAAAACAAACAAAACAGTTTTGACGATGATGATGATAAAATGGATTATGGTGCAACACCTCAGAAAGTGCAATTTAGTCAGGCTAACTCTGGTAAAGGCGGAAAAGGGAAATCAATCCCATTTCCATAGTAACAAATGAATCAGAAAGGACAAGGAGGATTTGGACAATTTATGCTAGACTAGTTATAAAATCTGGCAGAGTAAACAAAAATAGATAAGCCTTTAAATAAGGATAAAATGAATCAAAAAATCAAAGTAGCTAATGCTGCTGATGCTGGAAATAACATGATGCCTAATTTGGATAAGTAGCCATTTACAGATGATGAAATTAAGGAGGCCTTTTTTACATTTGATATGAATGGGAATGGTTACATTGGAGTCTAAGAAATCAGATTTGTGTTAGATGCTCTAGGAGAAGATGTTACTGATGAAGAAATAGATGAAATGGTTAGAATGCTAGATATAGATGGTGACGGCCAAGTGAACTTTAAGGAATTTTATAAAATGGCATCTGGCTAGAGTTTAGCTCCAATTGGAGTTGCTCTACCTCCTCCTAGAGATATGGAAATAGTTAAAAGACTCAATCAAAGCAATTCTAGTCAAAATAGTAAAAAGAAAGACCAAAAGAATCTGAAAGCATCAAATAAGAAAGAAGGTAAAAGTGTAAAGATATTTGATGATAACAGTCAAAATAAAGGAAAATACTCCGAGAAAGGAGGAACTGATAAGGATATTGATTATGATGAAGAAGAAGGTGAGGATGAAGAAGATGAAGAAGATTATGATGAAGAGTATAAAAGTGATTATGAGCAAGATGATTTAAAGAAAGGTATTGATAAAAAAGTGCCTTTTACAGTCAAGAAATTCAGTAGTAAAAAGCCTTAAAAAGGTAAAGCAAAGAATTTAGAGGATGAAGATGAGGAAGCTGGACCCTTAGGTAATTTAGTTGGAATGAAGAAAAAAGATGTAAAAGTTGCTGAAAAAGATGTAAAAAAATTCAACGATCTTACCAAGCAGAGAGAGATGGCTTAGCAAAGAAAATCGACTATCAAGGAAATTTGCTCTAAGTTTGGCTATGACAGTAAAGCTGTGAGAAAAATGTATGAAGTTTACGAGGAGCAGGAACTGCCTAAGAGGATTAACTACAACAGATTCATTAAGTTTTTGAAACTTGATGACTCACCTTTGCTCAGAAATGCTTTCGAGCTTTTAGCAGGAGGATCTAATGAAAAAGTGGACGTTAGAGTGCTAATGCTATAATTTATGAATCAGTCAACTCTATCTAAGGAAGAGAAACTGAAGTTTGCGTTTAATATTTTTGATGAGGAGGATAGTAGAATGATTACTTATAAAGAGCTTTTGAAGATTTTATAGGCTAATTACTTTGCTTCTTCCATTGAGGAAGTAGATGGTAAAGCAAAATTGATTATTTAGGAATCAAAAGGAATGGGAATAGATGAGGCTATTAGTTATGAGGATTTCATGATTATGGCAAGAAAGTTTTAGTCTTTATTTTATCCAACAAACTTGTGATATTATAATATTTATTTTTGGAATTTAGCTGAATTACTATCTCATATTGATTTACTATATGGCTTAAGGGGTTTTGGGGTTTTGGGG